ATCACGGTATGCTTTTTATGGGGCTGCCCTAGAAGACCACCCAGAAGCTGCAACTGGTCCAAATACCAGGCACCATAATTCAGAGTTTTTAAAAAAAGGCACAAAAGGCAACAGCTTTGAATAAATGCAGCCAGTCCCAGTGACACGTTTTATACTCAGATATAAACAACTGGTTTGTGTACCCTGAATACTCAAATTTTGGCACAAATCACCTCAGTGGCTAGAAGTGTAACGTTTCTCCTCCTTCCTTTGTTCTCTGTGTACACTTGCTCCTCTACAATGACAAAATGCAAGCTTCCCCTTTAAAAATGGTGTCAGTTCAGCTTTCTAATAACCATTTTCCAATACCTCACCCTCCCTTTAGATGGGGTGGGTTGTTTCCCTTTGTTCCCAGGCAGCTGGCCTTCCTTGCCATCTTCGTTCTTCATTTGTACTCTTGGTTCAATTCTTTTTGTTTATTGTTAATGTTTGAACCAATTGTAAACCACCAGGAGTCAGAGGGTAGGTCAACATGGAAGATGACGAGGGAGAGAGAGAGAGAGATTAAACAAATTAGGGAATTGATTCTAAACAGATATTGCCAAATAGAAGAGTGTCTACATGCAAGTGAAATACAGTTTACAAAAGTTCATGGCTGATGCTGTGAACTGCCCTTCCAGTTCCAGAAAACTCTTTCTGTGCCACTATCCTCTTTTTCATAAACAACCCCAGGATTTAATTCCCAGTCAGTCCACCTTTCTAGTGAGCTCCTCTCCAGCAGATGTTCTGCAGCATCAGCCACACAATGCCTGTCCCCCTTCTCTGCTTCTCCTATATCCAGGAAATGGAAGTGTTTCCGTCCAGGGAGCTTCCAGCATCTCCTGCCTTCTTGACTAGATGCTTGTGAACTTGGGACATCATCTGCCTTCCCTAAAAGCCCTGGCCTAGGCACAAACAGCTGCTTTCCTTAGGACAGGTACTTCAACAGGCCACTTCCAGAATCCCTTAGAGTCAGAAAAGCATAAATTTAAAATTATTTATCTATTGTAAAGCTGCCCATCTCAACAAGTGACTCTTGGTGGCAAACAATATTAAATAAAAATAAAAGCAATGACAACCATAAGCACAAAAATTAAATTATATGAATGTAGCCAGGAGATGGGGCCCTGAGCCAGGTCTTTAGAAAGGCCACCAGGTTGGGGCAGCCATTCTAATCTCTGGAGGAAGAATGTTCCATAGGGGTATGTGAAGGCAGAAAATGTTTTCTGGGAGCCCCAAACAATGTTCCTTAGTCGACAGGACTCAAGTGCTGGACTGGATTGGACAGGTCTTCAGGGAATATTATTGTTTGCTGTAAACTTGTCCTTATTGATTAGACATGGGTGCTATACCAAACCAGGTATTTGCCAGTTAAGAATTCAAATATTAAATTATATTTTTGGGGGGGAATGGTATCTTCAACTTCTAAGAAACTCTGGCGATACAGTATACTTGGACTATGTTATTTTCTATGGTGGCCCCAGTGTTTACAGTATGTCCCACTCCCCTTTTCCATCTGTTTACCTCTAAAACAGACATGTCCAACACAAGATCCATGGGCCAATTCCGGCCCACAATTTGGTTAGATCTGGCCCACAGAACCACCTCGGGACAGCAAAGAACGGCCCCCTGCCACCTCACTACCCAGTCCAGCCTGGCCGTGCACTGATCTACAACTTCATGGTGACCATCCGGGCCAGAACTCAGTCAGGCTTAGATCCTCAGGGCCTCCTTGGCCTTGCCGCATCCTCGGCCTTCTTAGCGCCTCCTCAGCCTTGCCACCTGGGAGATGGAGAGTGCACAGGGCCTGGCATCCCAGGTGAAAAGGAAGCACTCAGAACATAGTCAGCCTGCGGGGCAAGATGGTCACCATGGATGCCAGACCCTGCACGCTTACTGCCTCCTGGGTGCAGGGTTGAGGTGGTGGGGGCAGCCCTTTGCTGTTTCCAGGGGATAAAGTTGTAGATCAGCGCCCCCATGGCTCACTCCCTGGCCCGGTCATACAGCCTGTGAGTGGTTCCCTTTCACTAGCACAGCTGCCAAATTCTCCCCCTCCCCTCACCCCTTGGGCAGGGAGGGAGGAGATGGGAACAAGAAGGAGGAAAGCAGGGAAGGAGGGAGGGAGGGAGGAAGGAAGGAAGGAAGGAAGAGATGGGAATGAGGAGGGAGACAGGGAAGGAGAATAGGAGGGAAACGGAGGGAGGGAGGATGGGAGGAAAGAAAGAAGGAAGAAGGGAGGGAGAGAGACAGGGAGGCAGATGGGAATTAGAGTCATGCCTGCCAGCAGTTTTGGGAGGCGGGGAACTTGTGGGGCTCCGAACTGTCCCCACGTCAAGTTAGCCAGTGCAACATGTTCTGTCCTAACCCAGTCATCCCAAATTAGCCGTGCCCAGAAATCAAAACCCATTCAGCCACATCCACCCAGCCATGCCCACCTAGTCACAGCAAACTGACTACTGGCCCTTTGAGAGCAACCATAATGCTAATGTGGCACTCAATGAAATTGAATTTGACACCCCTGAGCTAGACCCTCCCAAGCCATTGATTGTACAGTGCCCTGATTGAGAGTCAGCTTCACTAGGTGGAGAAGTCCAGGAAATCAATTGCAAAGAAAGCTAAAACTCATTTGCTCTAATGGCAGCCTCTTGCAAGTCAGCTTGGTCTGTACTATCTCATCCTAGACAGTAGAAAGTGTGGCAGGCCTGAAACCTAAAAAGAAAAGTTGGTTTGCAGGTCTGATACTTCCTACAGCTGAATGAAGGAGAGAGGTGCCCACTTAAGCTGCATATATAATGTCACATTGCTGTTCTGGACTTCAAAAATGTTTCATCCAGCCCACAACTTACATATACACCTAAAGGGGGCAGGGGGAGGGGGAAAAACTCAAAAGAATTTCAGCTCTCACCCCAGCCTCTCTTCATGCTTCTGAATGAGACAGTTTGTAATGGCTCCTCTCCTAATTTGAGAAAGTAAAAACTCTTGAAACGGATTGTTTCAAAAGGAACCTTTAATCAGTCAGGATGGAAACCATTAGAAGCAAAGCAGCATCTGAAACCCTTTAGGCAATGCAAGTGGGATTAAGCTCATAATGACCCCTCCCCTTTGTCTGAAAGCAGATTCTGACCAACACATATGAAGATGTTTCCTTAACTCTTCTGCCCTGAGAGTCAATAAAGCACACGTTCCCATGGCTATCTCTATTAGACATTAAAGTAAGTTATCCCACATGGCTATCATAAACATCCCTCCAGAGATGCTGGGACCTTCAGTCTTCTGGTGACAGGAAACCAGTTGTAAAGTTGTAAAACTCACTTGTTACAGATACGCTAGTGATTTAATTCCGAGGTGTCCCTCCCTCCCAACTGAATGGCAGTATCACTGTTAGGGATCTGACACAGTAATTCTATGTTATTTTTTTTTTACACTAGAATTCCTGAACTTCAACAGTTCTACAATTTTTCTGCATTTTGTAATAGTAAAAGAAGGCATTGTTCCTTCTGGGTACCGTATATGGGCATCACTTATTACTCAGAAAGTAAAAGATGGAAAAAGTCACCCACTATTTTGACATTCTGGAATAACTGGACAAATGCAAATGGTCTGCGAGGATGCACCAAAACCTCAGGCCAATTCTGACATGTAGGGACAACACCTGTCCCAGGATTTATAGGAATGAAAGGCTGAGAAACCCACCCAGGGCCAGGAACTGGCATTTCTTTCTCCCTAGGAAGATTCAGATGGGCAGATACCTACAGGGTGATCTTCGTGCTCACTGAAATTCCCTTGACATGAACCAGAACCCTTCAAAGGGTCTTGCTTTGCTGGGCAGGTCCTCCAGAGGCACCCATGGGCAAAACTCAAGAGGCAGGCACTGGGCAGGCAAAGGCCAGGCCCTTTCAAAGAAGCTGCCCAGAAGCAAGCTTGGCAGGAGCAGCTACTCTCTCCCACTTCCCTTCCCTTGGGGGTCTGAAGCCCAGCAAGGGGCACTTGGGAGTCTTCAGCTCTACCTCCGTGATGGTCTGGCCACTTCCTGCCCAGGTGCTGCACTTGCCAATCTTTACTTGTGATTCTTCCCCAGGTTCGCAGTAAAATCCTGATCCTGACAATTTGTGCAGCTGGGATTGGTGGCACTTTTCAGTATGGCTACAATCTCACCATCATCAATGCCCCCACTGTGGTAAGGCGGCCCTTTTGTTACCATGCTCCTTGATCACCTCTCATTGGAACAGGCCCTCAAGGGAGAGACAGCCTCTCATCTGCCCCCCCCCCCCCCGATTTTGGGCTCAGCTCAGCTCATGAGCTCCTTGGCAGGTGCTCCCCTCACCTCTCAAGGTGAGGGGCAGAACAGGTTGGCCTTGAGCCTCTTTCAGGAAAAACCTAACAATATCCCCTAACTCCTCTAATGTCTAGCAGTGTTCTCTTGTGAGGAGGGTTCAGAAACAGGAAATGGCTGTTGGGACAGTTGCCCTTCCAGTAAGGCACTGGTCATCTGGATACTTCCCAGATCTTCCTGCAGCTTTTGAGGAGTTGTAGCTTGTGGAGTAACTAAATTCAGATCTCTTGTAGGTTTCATGGCTCCCACCCACTGCCACATCGGCAGACCCCAGAACAGCTGGTTTTCAGTGGGTGGGGGCTCTGCGTGTTCCAGCTCCAATTTTTCCCACACAGTATTTTTTTCCTCCACCCTGTAGTTCATCCAAACCTTCATTAATGAAACCTGGCTGGCTCGCACTGGGGCTGTCTTGGAGGCAAAGATGATCATGCTGATCTGGTCCTTCATTGTTGCCATGTATCCTTTGGGAGGCCTAGTTGGAGCATTAATTGCTGCTCCCCTGGCTGTAAAGATGGGCAGGTGAGGGGTTGAGAGGGTCAGCCTCTCTCAGCAGGAGGGAGGAATATCTTCTAGTGTCTTCTAGAACTGGATTCAGCCAGGAGCATTTGGACACCGGACTCCAGATAGCTCTCTTTAATCAACTACATATAATGAAACCAAATGGAATGTAATTGAAGCTACTTTTTGCCAGCTTAACTCTCAGATTAATTTCTGGTAATCTGCTATTTTCTCCATGTTGACAGGTTCCAGATGGATGATCCTGATCCCTAATGCAGCCTGGTCATGAGTGAAACTTGGGTGCTCCATACACTGCCAAACGGAGCTGGGAGTTGTAGTATAGTTGTACAAGAATTTTGTCAGAGGGCTGCAAACTAAGGAGGGTGAGGGCTGGATGAGGAAAGGGACAACTGTCTCTTTCCTTCTTTCCTCCCTTGTGGGCTGCTCCGAGCCCAACTTCCCTCTTGCTCAGCAAACCAGCCCAAAGAATGCAGGGTTGGCAGAGGCAGCTCAGGGTCCCAGGAGGAGTGCCTGTAAGCAGAGATCCCTGAAGTTTCATTTGCATTCAAGTCCATACTCCCATGCCCATATTTCCCCTGTTCTCTCAGGGTTTGGCATCTCAGTTCTTGGGAAAGGGTTTATGATGACTCAAAGCGGCCAGTTGGGTGTGGCTGGGCAGGCATGGCTGGTGGTTGCAGCCAGGTCATCACAATTAGGTGAGCATGGTTGGGTGAGATGGCCGACTTGATGTGGCTGGCTTGACACCACTCACTCAGCACAGCTGACTCGGTATGGCTGGCCAGGTGGGCATGGTTGGGTGGGCGTAACTGGGTAGGTGCAGCCAGTTCAACCCTGCTGACTGGGGATGGCACGGAACAAGTTGCATTGGCTAGCTTGATATGGAGATAACGCCCCACAAACTTCTCACCTTTCCAAACTGCCAGCAGCCAAGCTCGTGCACGTGCACACTTACACAGACCACAACCCAAGTTTGGGACATTTATACCCAGATGAAGGAGAAGTCCTTCTCCCCAAATACAGGCATGACTGGCAGTTTGCCAGCTCAGATGTGAATAAAAGTGTCCAAGCTTGGAATGGTGTGTATCTGTGTATGTGTGTGTGCATGCAGCATGCAGCATTCAGCATGCAGCACGCCAAAGGAGATGTTCTCCCAATACCAGATACCTGAGAGCTGGAGTTTCCCTGTCCAGCGCCCCTTCCTGGCAAAGCAGGAGGCAGAGGACAAGGCTGCTGCACATGGAAGCACGGAGGAGAAAGTTTGCAGGAAGCAGTTTCCTCCAACTTTTGCCTTGACAGATCTCTGCAGAGAAGGCAGGGGTGGCAAAGGAGCAGTGCTCCCTGGTCCTGCATGAGGGAGGCTGGTCTTTCTTGAAAGGGAATCCCCATTTCCAAGCATGCGTGGTAAGGATCCGGGCTAGTTGGGCCAGCCTTCCCTCACCCCGCCACCCCCTTCTTCTCTCCAGAGATCTTTGTAGTTCAATCAAGCAAAAAAAAGAGGAAAGAATGATATCATTAATATATTATAAGTGAGTGCCTGAATGCTGCACAATGGTGTAGATCAGCAATGATATGCACAATAGTTCTAGTTCCTCTTTAAAATTTCTACATTATGTTTTCCAATTCTATACTTTAAAAATAATCTTCATAGCCAATGATTTTGTAATAAATGTTTTGCTATTAGGTTGGCTTATATAAAATGGATGATTGCTTTAAGGCACAAGTAGACCAGCACCAGAAATGACAGTAACTTTATGATGATTTTATATATAAAGCAGATCAGTGTATGAACTCTATTATATATTCTGCTTTCATGACATGCAGCAAATTTACTTTTCGGCTTTTTGGTATGGATCTGCTATTACTATTTCTAAGCAGTAAATTATGCAGCAATCTGTTAATATCTAATGAAACGTTAGTTAAAAAATGTGGGCAAAAATGAGGAGAAAGTCCACAAGCAATCTCAGAATTAAGTCAAGAGTTTCTGAAGTCTTCAAACAACTGTAAATGGAATAATTCAGTACGTGTGAAAACCTGTTTATTTTGTAAAAGTATTTGTTTCATTTGCCTCCCACGTGCAGGACCAGGGAGTGCTGCTCTCCTGCCTCCTCTTCTTGCTCTCCAGAGAGCTGTCAAGGCAGAGGTTTGACTGCAGCAATGTCACCCTCCACCTCCTGCTTTGCCTGGCCAGCCTCCCCTGCACAGCTCCTCTGCCACCCACTCCTTCTCTCCAGAGATTTTTCAAGGTAGAAGTTGCACTTGGAGGAAACTGCTTCCTGCAAACTTTCTCCTCCACCCTTCTATGTGCAGCAGCATTGTCCTCCTGCTTTGCACTGGATAGGAAAACACCAGCACTCAGATATCTGGGATTGGTGTGCTGCATGCATGCGTACAAACACACCACACACAGATACACCATTTCAAGCCTGGAGATTTTTATCTACATCCAAGCTGGCAAGCTGCCAATCATGCCTGGACTTGGGGAATAGGATGTCCCCTTCCTCTGTGGATAAAAGTCTCCAACCTGAAATGCGTGTGCACGTACTTGGTTGCCGGCAGTTTGGGGAGGTGAGAAACTTGTGGGACACTGAATTGTCCCAATGTCAACTTAGCCAGTGCAACTTGTTTTGTCCCAACCTGGCTGTCCTGAGTCAGCAGTGCCTCCTGCTGCACCTCCTTGGCCATTCCCACCAGGATGTACCATGTCAGCCATGCAGCATTGAGTTGCTCACATCAAGCTACCCAACCACACCCACCTAGTTGTAGTGACCCGGCTGTGACCACCCAGCCATGGCTACCAGCCATGCTCACCTGGACACTGAGTCGTCCCATTCCACTTGGGGGGAAAAGGGCTGCTAACATGCCACTCCCTCTTGAAGGTCTTGGCACTGAAACCTAGGCTCCCTGCCACTTTGGCCACACAAGAACCAGCAGGAGCAGCCATGGTGCTGAATGACAGCCAAGAGAGGCCCAGGAAAGAGGCACATAAAGCGAAACAAGCCTTTGAAACTTTTCTCCCTTGCTTCCCCTAAGGAAGAAATCTTTACTGCTGAACAACGCATTTGTGGCCCTTGCTGCACTGCTGGTGGGGTTCAGCCGCGTGGCAAAATCCTTTGAAATGATCTTGCTAAGCAGATTTTTTGCTGGCATCAATTCTGGTATGTCCAAGACATGAGCAGATACATGATCACTGTAGCATTTTGAAAAGCTGTCTATGCTATCTGACCAGGGTTTGTTCCTTGAAGATAGGTCAGCGCTGCAACTTGGAGCCAAGAATCCATCATAATCTGCTTTTCTTCCTGCCTTTGCCTTCCAATGGGGAGTTGGGGGTGGAGGTTCTTGATCTCTCAGTTGCTTTCAATACTATTGACCAAGGTATCCTTCCTGGCTGGCTCTGAGGATTGGGAATGGGAAGACAGAACTTTGGGGTGGTTCTCTCTGTTTGAGGGGAGGGGGAGGTTCCACTGTTGTTGGCTAGGATACATTGATGATATCCAATTGTGTCTTTTAATACCAGATTGGCCAAATGAGACTGTCAAGATTAGTCTGGGAGGGGAGGAACCATCTTTGATTCAATCCTATCAATGGTTGCAGGTATAAGGTCTCCTGCCTTGGGACTAGAAGACCTCCAAGGTCTCTTCCAATCCTATGAATGTATTTTTCTATGTGAGGGCCACTGAATCTGAGGATATTTCATCTTTAACCTTGGATGGGGTAGCACCTCCTTATTTAAGGGTGATGCATGATCTGGGGATCTTTATGTCCATAAAGATCTTTATGTCCATCTTTATGCTTCTGATCAATATGTAGCTGATGGCTATGGACAGAAAAGTCTTTGCACAGCAGCATCTATTGTACCAGTTGTGTCTTTTTTGTTGACAAGGAGACTCTTTAGACAATCAGTTATGCCCTAGAGTCCACTCTTGCAATGCACTCAAAGACCACTTAGAAGCTTCGGCTGTCCAGACTGCAGTGGCATGGGCAGTGATGTGTCCATGGGATTCCTCTGATCTATGAGCTGCATTAATTGTCAATTTTTTTTCATGTGTAATTGCTAGAAACCCTATGTGGCATAGGACTTGGTTTTTTAAGGGACTCCCTATCTATCTGTTTGGTTGAGGCCAAAGAAGTGCTAGCAGAAAACCTTGTTTAGAGGCAGAGAAGGGAAAGGGGAGAGCATTCACAGAATAAAACTTTGGCCAGAAAGTTCACACATTTAGTATGAAAATCCCTGTCACCAGAAGCCAAATGGTCATAATAAATATCATAAATCAAATATGTTCCTTTCTGAGACTGGGGACTTGTCTGTACAGGAGTGGCCATGAGCATCCAGCCCATGTACTTGGGGGAAAGCGCACCCAAGGAGCTCCGGGGAGCCGTGGCCATGACTTCAGCATCTTTCACAGCCCTCGGCCTGGTGCTTGGCCAGGTGGTCGGACTCAGGTGAGACACAAAGTTCTGGGGAAACCTGGAGTATATGTGTCATCTACAAGGCACACCCTTTGCTAGGAGCCTGCTGTAGGGTACGCAAGGCTGGGCTATGCGCTGCACCTTAAACAAAACTCTAGAAATGGAAAGCCGCCAGGTAGGTAGGTGCCCTGCCTTGAAACCTCCTACCCAAGCCCAGGCAGCACATAGCAAAAGGGCCTGTTGTCTCTCTTTTGTATGAATTTATGGAAAGACACTCCTATGATAACAATTGGCAAGTAAGTTAAAGTCTGTTAAATGAGACTCTGCTTCTGTTTCTATAAGTGACTCTGGATTTCAATGCAGGGAAATCTTGGGAGCAGAAGAGAGTTGGCCTATCCTTCTAGCCAGCAATGTGGTGCCTGGGTTGATCCAGCTGGTGCTTCTGCCCTGGGCTCCAGAAAGCCCTCGCTACCTCTTGATTGACCAAGGAGATCAAGATTCATGCATCTCTGGTAAGCAAGGGTGTTCATATCAGCCTCCTGTACAGCCCAGAGAGCAAATCGTTATAGGGACATGGGAGGGAATAGAATTGTGGGGAAAATCAGGCTCATTACATGAGGCCATTTTAGGTCCTGTGGGAATTAAAGTACCCTGCAGAAGTAATGCTTTCTGACAAAGGGAACTTTATGTGAGGAATCTGGTCCCATCTGGAGTAAACAATAAGGTGACCAGACGTCCCGATTTTCGCGTGACAGGCACGCTTCTGCACAATTTGTCCCGTGTCCCGGGGGGGGGGTGTTCTTAAAAAGTCCCAATTTTTGTGACTGGACCCGGAAGTAAGCCTGCCCCGCCCCCAGTCCCAGCCGGCCGGTATTTTGTCCCTTCTGTCTCCCCGTTGCTCAGAAAAGCAACTCTGGGAAGGTCCTTTGCTAGCAGGCAGCTTCTAGGATGCCTACCGCCACCAAAGGACCTTCCCAGAGTTGCTTTTCTGAGCAATGGGGAGACAGAAGGGACAAAATAACTCTGCTACTGTATTGTATTGTATTGTATTGTATTGTATTGTATTGTATTGTATTGTATTGTATTGTATTGTATTGTATAAGATTAATTTAAAGAATAAATTACAAACTCCAAATTAATATTAATAAATACTTAATTTAATGCCATATATTAATTAATATAT